AAACATATAAAAAAATGCTCAACATCTCTAATCATTAGAGAAATGCAAATCAAAATCACAATGAGATATCATCTAACCCCAGGGAGATTGGCCTCTATCAAAAAAATCCCAAAACAACAAATGTTGGCGAGGATGTGGAGAGACAGGAACACTCTTACACTGCTGGTGGGACTACAAATTAGTGCAGCCTCTGTGGAAAAGAATTTGGAGATACCTCAGAGAGCTAAAAATAGAAATACCATTTGATCCAGCGATAGCACTATTAGGCATCTACCCAAAAGAGCAAAAGATATTCTACAATAAAGACATCTGCACCCGAATGTTTATGGCAGCATAATTCACTATTGCAAGGATGTGGAAACAACCCAAGCGCCCGTCAATTCATGAGTGGATTATTAAAATTTGGTATGTGTATACAATGGAATATTACTCAATTATAAGAAACGACAGTGATCTGGCACCTCTTATATTTTCCTGGATTGAAATTGACTCCATTATCTGAAGTGAGGTATCACGAGATCAGAAGAATGGGCTCCACTTGTACTCGCCATCAAATTGGTACTAACTGATTAACACTATGGTGCTCACATGGCAGTAATATTCTCCAGGGATTAGGGGGATGGGGGTGGGTAAACTCACAACTAAAGGACACGGTGATCATTGTAGAGGGGAAGGGCATGCCTCTAACCTTCATTTGGGTGAGGCAAACACATAAAATGTAACCAAAATGTTTGTACCCTCATAATACCCTGAAATAAAAATAAAAACAGATTTTAAGGAAGCTAGAAAATGTGGAATATCCTGAATGATAGAAAACTTATTGTACTTTGTTACAATACGTATATTAATGATGTGAAAAGATAATTTGATAAATGCAACTATGTTAAATATAGAATATTGCTATCAACTAATTAATCACGGATAATAACATATAAGTCAGTAATGATGGGTCAACTAAAAAAGTTTAGAAAAGATGGATCAAATGCTGATGATAGAAGACTCCATTTGTTTTCAAATCTTGCCTTAGTTCTGCAAGAAATATATAGGCCAATTATCACTGAAATAGTTTAACACTGTGGCACACCTGCAAATCTGTTTCTTTGAATACAGATGAAAACCTGCAGTAGTTGGCTAAATAGCTTAGTGGTAACCAATTTCTTCTGACTGTATATCTCATCAATTAAAAAAAATTAAAAATACCCCAATATAAATAATATTCTTAAACAAAAGATTATAAGTTGTATAAATGAAATTATTATACTAATATTTTATATACATAATACAACATACATAAAATAGAATTAAGAATTATATTTAAAAATAAATAGACATATAAAAATCTAATAGTTTCTTTTTATATGCTAATAGATCATTTCATGCACCACTTGGCCCATACCCACTGTCAGGACCAATGATCTAGCCTAGTTCCGAATATTTCTTTCTCGTCACACAATTTTAGTATAGTACAATATCCGTAACCAGAATTCCATATAAGACAAATCAACCCCTACCATTCATTTCTGTTTAGTTTATCAAGCATATCTTTGTTTCAAAATTAATATTACAAACAACTTAACTTTTCCTCTTCATGCTACCTCCCAATTTCTTTTGGACTCAATTTAAATAAACACATAATATCATCAAAAAAAGGAGAAAAGAATCCTACCACTAGTGAAGGATCAGTCTCAGTGTTTTCATCCAAGTAATCAAGCAATGCTTTTTGCAATTGTTGGATTTCATCTTCTCCTCCTGAAACCTACAGAATAAACCAAATAATAAAAAAGATATTACTGGTTTTGCTTTCATAAATCATCTGGTTATAAACACAAATCTGATGGAAAAAACTGACAAATATTAAAAATGAAAATAAAACCACAGTAACTAAAAGGAAGAAACAGCAAACTACTATTCCCCAAAAATATATTATATATTGATAGCTGAGGTTAGCCTTTATTTTTATGAACCACATGTTATCTCTCTTTTAAAGAGCTCATAGGTAGCTGACATGAAAATTACCAGAACAATGTGTTAAATCTTCAAAGCTATGAATGCCCTAGCACCAGTTTTCTGTTTGGAAAAAAACAATAACTCCAAACTTTTAATCTAGTAAATGGAAATGGTTGTTATCTATATTAATATGTATTAAAAATTTCTTTGGGGTATTATTTAAAAAGAACATTACAGAAGGGAAATATTTTTATTTATACTTAATAGGAAAATAGTACTTTATTTCATGTTGGATATTAAATGTACAATAGGTGAGCTATTTAGCTGTGTAGGTACAGAAACTTAATCATTAGGTTCTGCCAAGAATTACAAAGCCAGAAATTACCTATGAGTTGACATTCAAGTCTACAGTTTATACTCTAGCAGTTCTAGCTTTACTATGTAAACTGCCAAATATAAGGTTTAGAATATATCTAACCACAAAGCGAAGATTAGAATAACCCATGTTCTAGGAGTGTGATGAAACTGATAAATTCAGAAATTGGTCGTAGCTCTGTAAACTATTAATAGTATACTGTAAACTTACAAAATGAATTTAGAAGCATGTGTTAAAATCCATAAGATATTTAAAAATGATCCCTCTCCTCCAGTTGTGCAATATACAATATACACAGCCATATGTGGCAATAAGAAGTTCTAGGCCTACTCTACGAAAAACTGAAAGTCACCTAGCACCTAGATCTTGGCTTCTACATTACCATTCACCAATAAAAGAAACCAGGATTCCTTGGAGAAATAGCTGATCCCAGGGCTGGGGCAGGGAAAGTAAAAGATGTGCCTGAAACACCTGTTGTGCCAGAAAATAAGAAAAGTCCTCAAAGAATGATGGGAACATATCAAAAGGACATAAAAGCCAGGTTAAAGGGGCTTTTACCGGTCAAATCTGGGACAATTTAAGCATTAAAATAATGATGATAACAAATTACAACCTACTAAATAGAATAGGAATGGTAGTATTATATGAGATGGTAATATTAATGATATTTTTTAGCTTTTGATAATTCTACTATGGATATTTAAGTGAGAGTTCTTGTTTGCAGAGATATACATTAAGCAGTGGCTCTCAAACTTCAGCATTCATTAGAATCACTTGGAGGGCTTGTTAAACTATTGACTGTCCCACAACCAGTTTCTGATTCGGTAGGTCCTAAGATTTACATTTTTGTTAAAAATGTACTTGTTAGTAGTTCCCAGGTGATTTCAATGTTGGTACTGCTTGTCAAGGGAATCACCCTTTGAAAACCACTACACTAGAGAATTCAGGGGTAATGTGGGGCATAGTGTCTGCAACTTAACTTTAAATGGTTTGGAAAAACATGTTTTTTAAAAAATATGGATGTATAGGCCAGGTGCGGTGGCTCACACCTGTAATCCTAGCACTCTGGGAGGCCGAGGCGGGAGGAATGTTTGAGCTCAGGAGGTTGAGACCAGCCTGAGCAAGAGCAAAACCCCGTCTCTACTATAAATAAAAAGAAATTAGCCAAACGACTAAAAATAGAAAAAAAAAATTAGCCAGGCAAAGTGGCACATGCCTATAGTCCCAGCTACCCAGGAGGCTGAGGCAGGAGGATCGCCTGAGCCCAGGAGTTTGAGGTTGTTGTGAGCTAGGCTGATACCACGACACTCTAGCCCAGGCAAGAGAGTGAGACTCTGTCTCAAAAAACAAAAAACAAAAGGATGTATAAACATACATACATGCATATTTTGAAAGAGAATGATAAAGCAAATGTTGTAAACTATCAACAATTAAGGAATTTGGGTGAAGACTTTATGGGAGTTCCTTGTACTATTCTTATAACTTTTCTGTAAGATTGAAATTATTTTAAAACACAAAGTATAGTAAAAAAATCAAAGGCATTTCTATGCATATATATATAGTTATGAACTAAAAGAAGACAAGGAAAAGGAAAACAGAAGTTGTATATGGTAGGATTAGAGATCATTTCCCTGCCTATTTCTGAAGTAACTTTCTGTATTACTATCACCTCGCCCATACTTTAAAAAAAAGAATGAGGCCGGGCGCGGTGGCTCACGCCTGTAATCCTAGCTCTCTGGGAGGCCAAGATGGGCGATTGTTTGAGCTCAGGAGTTCGAAACCAGCCTGAGCAAGAG